GACATTTTGGATATAATAAGACTTTAGAGCTGATATCTAGGGATTTTTGGTGGCCTCAAATGTGGAAAGCAGTTAAAGATTTTGTACAATCATGTGATGTTTGTTCAAGATCGAAAACTCCTCATCATTGACCTTTTGGACTTTTTCAGCCATTACCCATTCCAGAACAACCATGGTCTTCTGTTTCTATGGACTTCATGACAGATCTTCCAATCTCAGGTTCTTATGACTCTATATTCGTGATAGTAGATCGTTTTACCAAGATGGCACATTTTGTACCATGTACAAAATCTATCACAGGTGAAGAAACAGCTAAGCTCTTTCTTGACAATATCTATCGCTATCATGGATTACCCAAGGATATTATATCAAATAAGAGAACTCAATTTGTATCAAGATTTTGGCGGACTCTTTTCAAGATTCTTAAAGTAGATATAAAACTATCTTTGATATTCCATCCTCAAATTGATGGACAAACGGAGTGTGATAATCAAGTTTTGGAGCAATATTTAAGATGTACCATTAATTACCAACAAGATGATTAGACAACTCTTTTGCCATTGGCAGAGTTTGCTTACAATAACACAGTACATTCTTCTACAAAACAAACACCTTTCTTTGCTAATTATGGTTATCATCCACGACTTGATACTTTTGACTTTTCAAAAGTTGATAATCCTTCTGCGAAAGATTTGGCAGTTCATTTATCAGAGCTACATGCAACGATGAAGGCGCAGTTAAAAGAGGCTCAAGAATAACAAAAAGTCAATGCGGATGTCTATCGAAAGGAACAACCATCATTCATCTTGGGTGATAAGATATGGCTACTTCGTCACAATATCAAGACCACTCGTCTTTGTGACAAGTTGGACTATCGAAGGCTGGGACCATTTTCTATTTCTGTACAAATCAATTCAGTTGCATATCATTTACATCTACCGGAGTCAATGAAAATCCATCCAGTATTCCACGTGTCTCTTCTTGAACCATACAAGACAGTGGACATACCAAGAAGATGACAAGCTCCACCTCCTCCTATAGAAGTGGACAATAATGAAGAGTTTGAAGTAGAAGAAGTCTTAGATTCAAGGTGACGCCAAAATAAATTAGAATATCTTGTCCATTAGCGCGGATATGGTATTAGTGAACGCACATGGGAGCCAATAAAGAATCTTGCAAATGCAGCAAAGGCGGTGGAGGCTTTTTATCGACGACATCGATCAAAATCAAGATGAAAACCTTCTTTATAAAAGAAACAACATCTAGGCAAGATAACAATCTACTTTCAATTCTTGTTCGTAGCTTCATTGTAGTAGTGATGCTCAGGAGATGGAGAACCAACAACCAGCAGATTCAACTCAAGAGCCTTCATTTGTTGACTTGTCGGACGAGACATTATGATTGTCACAACCTTCAAGACGACGTAATCGAGATGAAGATCTTAAAGAACGACATGTTCTTCCTTGAATAGATGGTGAGATACAACGCGTTTGGTATCACGATTTGGGAAGGGACTCCCGATGTTTGGTGATTTTGCTAGAGGTAGGAACAACTCCTGATGGTGTTCCAAATATTCTATTCGAAGGAAGTTACGAAGGCCTCAACAATGATCAAATAACTGGGTGGTCTTCCCGCCCTGGTATGGGACACTACCGATGGTTGAGAGGTCCTATCAATCATCTTCGAAGAGAACAAAGATCAGAGTATGTGGCGAATACAATTCGTCGCATCATAGATTTTCTCAACATATGATGACCGCTTCTCATGGAACTCGTCTCTAGAAGGGGGGGTAATGTCACGGCCATAATCATGTAAGCTAACAATTACATATACAAATAGGTAGAAGTAAGTAAAAGTAGGTAAAAGTAAGTTAATTCTATAATATTTAATATGGAAGCTTTTTAGAAGCTTTCTAGATGCTGCTTTGACTTCATAGGTGTCTTTAATTGACTTTTTGGATTAGAAACGTGGTCAACAAGTTGGCCATGTGCCACACATGTTGTTAGCTTAAAGATCAAGCTAACTATGTGGCCCACATGTAGAAAAACTTGCCTTGTAAGTCAAGGCATGTGTCCTACAAAATCAACACATATTGGAGGTCCTATAGAACGTCGCCACGTAGCCCCTAGTTAGATAGTATATATAGAGACAAGAGTGAAGGCTTCTTCACTCTTGTCAACTCCTTTCTTGCTTCTAGTCTAGTTTCAAGGGTCTCTAGTTTTCTTGTCTTTTGGCAATAGCCATTCCAATTTCTTTTTCAATATATATACTTGTTTATATATATTTTGTTACCTCTCTTTGAGTGAAGGCTCACTTGTCTAAATTGATTTTTCATCGAGTTCTTGTCCTTGACAATTATCAACTTCAATCTTGTAGGGGTGTGTTTTTACTAAAAAAATTAGAAAGCTACAAAAACTAACTAGATAGATTTTTTTTCATTTAATATAGATTTAGTAGATGTGAATATTTAGTCTTTTTTAAATCCTCAATTTATTTTGTAATATCAAATTAATTCCTTAAGTTTAGAAATTTTTAGTAACTATATTATTATCTTTAATCAATCAAAGATGGTCTAAATCATGTTTTTTATAAACATATAATGCCCTGAGTATAGTTCCTAGTACCAAAAAAATAATCTTTTGAAAGATGTTTCATTTCATTGTATTATATTATATTATTTCTTTGAATACAAATTAAAAAAATTCTATTATCTAAATAAAAGGAACACAATTACTTATATCTTAATACCTACTTGTTGATTAGATATAATAACACTATACACTTGTCTATATTTTGTCTAGTGAAAATGTAAAACTATACACTTGTCTATATTTTGTCTAGTAAAAATGTAAAACTATTGGGATAATAACCTTGTAGTTAAGAATCCTAATTTTTCATTCACAAAACTACTATCTTTGGAATTTAAAATTTTATGAACCGTTTAAAATCCACTCCACATGCTGAAAAAAACTTGTAGTAAAAAACCTATACTAAATTTTGACATTGTTCTTGAATTGTCTTTAATCCCAATCCATATTGATTTTTACACTTAATTATTGCTTAAAATCTCATCATAAAATATTTTTGCATTTGGTTGTGTCCAAATATTCCATAAACAAATTCCATTGATCAGTTTCAAGTTGTAACTCCTCGTTCTGCAATGATTTCCTTTCGACGCAGATGATTCCTTTCCACACCCCTAAGGATTTTCCAACTTGCAGGAGTCAATCGAGGCAAATTAAGGCACTAGGCAAGACATTTTAAGTGAAGGGCATGATCATACACACACCCACAAGACATAATTATCCACAAAGCATATTTCGTGCCGTGATAGATATTCTTCAGGTACGGAACACATGCATTCGATCTCAGCCCCTTCCAATCGATGAATGGATTCCCCGTTCGCCCTGAAGTTTCTTCCTCGTTAATCGGAGTGCCAGATCCACATCAATCGATCAAGCTTAAATAACTGCCCAGTATCAGATTTCTGTCGCCATGAACATAAATGGTGAAGCAGCTGCCTAACAGAATTTATTGCGATTCCTTCTGTTCAGGTTGTCAACTACTGCTACCCGATCACTACCATTACAGACAAATCTAATACCGACCTTGGACTGCATGATCACATTCAGAGCTTGAAAGTCAGATGTTCCTTCACGATGAAAGTCAGATGTTCCTTCACGATCTTCACTATCAGAACCTTTGTGGGTTATCCATCTTCAGCTGTCCACACACACTCCACCCCCAACACCTTCACCCTCTGTGGCTTGCTTTTCTGATCAAGGGCTTCGAAAAGATGAACACCATTGCCATATTCTCAGCCATTCCATCTTAGTTTTTGAATGTCACCTTCAACGTTGTCACTGTGTTTTTGGGTCTTGCATAGATGGACCCATTGGTGGTGGTCCAAGTGACTTTCTGCGCCACAAACGGACCGCTTGAAAGGACAAGCTCCTCTGTGCGAAGTTGTGAATTATGAGCTAGAGCATGAGGGTCACGGCTTTGGCGTAGTTGGTGACTGCTGCTAGGAAGGATGCTCGTGTTGCAACTGCAGAGAGCGCTTCAGCCTGCACAACTGTTGCCATCAGAAGAGCAGGCAAGAGGAGCTTCAACGTGCAGTAAGCGTTGGAAGTACCCCTCACGTTAAACGATTGGTGTCGTCGTCGCAGAAATGAACTGCAGTTCGAGGAATCGAAGTGGGCGTCGGCGGTGTGAGGGGATCCATGCCTTAGATGTGAAAAGAGATTGTTGTAGAAATCGATCACCAGGCTGAACGTGTAACGATTCTGGCGTGATTTGCAGTAGGATTTCAATCGAAACATCACATGCATGAACTCCGCAGAGCCATTCGCGCATCCACGATTCTGGAAAGTTTTACAGCCTTGGAGAATCGCACACGTGGTCGGTTAGGAGGAAACTCTAAATGCGTGAATATCTAGGGGAAAGAATCACCACGTTGATTCATTGGGAACGACCAAGTTTTTTGGTGCAGTTGGGACATAATATGCGTTCATTTCCACGGTGGCGATAATGATGCTCAGAATCAGGATGCGCATCTGCAACGTGACATGCTTTCAGCGGGAAAATGTCCGCCGAGCTCGAGAAATGAGCAACTGATGCGAGACTTCATGCGAGTCTGGTGGTAAGTTCACTATTAAATTTTAGCACCAGCCTACAATATATTGTTGGAGTTATGAACTGCGTTACTATTACAGGGTGTAAGGTAAACCGGAAACCCGCCGGTAAACTAAAAATCAGCCCTTTTTCTCGAGAACAATATGCTCTGTTCAGGTGGAGTTAGTCCGCCCTTGCGATGCCAAGGGTCAGCGGTTTCCTATTCCCAGTGCGCCGTTCCCAACGACTACGGAACGCGCACTTGAGCTATACTGGTTTTTAGAAGAACAAGCTATTCTGGCCAAAAATGCATCGTTGCGTACAAATCTTTTGAAATGCGCATCCCCTAAAAAATGCACTGTTGCGTACAAGTACAACACCAAAGTGTATCCGCAAACTCTCGAATCATATTCCGCACTGCAGACGGTGAGCTTCTCATTCTGCACATGTAGGGCCAGACGTGGGTTTGATCATTTCTTCCTCATGACCGCGTCCCGGAAGCCGGATCCTTAGACCTCGACAGCCTCTGCCACACTCTGGTTCTCATCTGCCCAGGCCAGCTCGAATTCATCATGTCGACTACGAGAGCCTTATCCAGCATGAAACTCGCAGTTTGCATTGCCGCAGTCGCTATTTTGGCACTGAACTCCCTGCCTTCGGTGCTTGGAGCACCATACGGATGGAAGGAGGCGCATATCACGTACTATGGAACAGCTAATGGCGGTGGCACACAGGGAGGCGCATGCGGATATCCGAACACCTTTGCGATGGGATACGGGGTGATGACCGCAGCATTGAGTTATCCTTTGTTCCAGGGCGGAAAGTCTTGCGGGGCGTGTTACCAGCTGAAGTGCAAATGGCTGGCGCCCACTCGCACCGTTCACAACTGGTGCTGGAGCTACAGTCGCACCATCACTATCACTGCAACAAACTCGTGCCCTCCAGGATCGCACGGAGGTTGGTGCGACTGGAAGCCTCACTTCGACTTGCCCATGCCTGCTTTCATGACATTGGCGCGGCGTGAAGGAGGAGTGGCCCCCGTGTACTACAGAAAGGTTCGGTGTGCGAAGCGCGGCGGAATTCGGTTTACCCTTGGCGGCAACCCATACTTCATGATGATCTTGATTCACAACGTGGGAGGTGCAGGCGATTTGAGGGCAGTGAAGATCAAGGGGCGGAACGGATATTGGGTACCAATGTGGCAGAACTGGGGTGCGCTGTGGACATGCAAAACGAAGTTGAGCGGAGCATTGTCTTTCCAGATCACGACGGGCGACGGGCGCACTGTGACGGTTAACAGAGCAGTTGGAGACTACTGGAAGTTTGGACAAACGTGGGAGGGCTCTCAGTTCCGATAGATCGGTCGACATGGAACTGGATCATGAGAACAAGCTCGCTAGCATTGGTCGTTTCGATTGATGGGAACATGGCGACGCTCCTCGGTCCGAGATGTGCATGTCATATGGCCCGTCCGACCGTGCGAAGCAGATCTCGCTTTCTTGATGGACGAGACGACTCCAGTATGAAGTTTGTGGGTCAGTGGTGTCTAGATCTGTTTAAATCGACGTATTCATATATTTCAGGAGTGTAACTTGTTTTAGAATTTGGAACGCCATGTCCTTTGAGCCAGCTAATCGTGCTGGGTGATTGTTATTTGATCTCATATTTGAGAACATCTTTGAGCAATAAAAAGATCAACATCTTCGTCTGATTTAAACATTTACATTTGGTAGCCGAGGAAGCTCCATACATTCTAGCTAGTTTACGCGGATGCCACGATGTTGTCCGTTGCCTCGTTTGCTCAAAGTTGTTCACCTTGAGGCATGAATTGCCCCTTCTGCTCCTTATAGTTACGGTTGCGTTTCAGCAAATCAACCTGAGGCCCATCCACTAGACAAGCGAAAGCACCGCTACTCTCTCAAACCCAGGTGTATATGTTTCATATGAGATTAGAATATCCCTCAAGGCGATTCATGAGAAATCCACAAATGATCTTTTCTGATCCCTGGTTAATATTAATGAATCCTCTATACAAGCTTGTCAGAGTTTTGTTGCAAAATTCCTCAGGGTAATAGGTATTTCACTTGATTCCAAACAAAGGTGGGCATAGATCACAGATTTAACAAACTTGTGAGTTGTTTGGAACCTGCGAGTGTGAGGGTAACATTTCATAGCTACGTGCCCATAAACCAGTTGGATATCTCACCCAAACGTTTCGAGATAGCGACATAAAATCACTGAAAAACGACATTGTCGACGAGGGTTTCATTGTATAGAACATTGTCAAGCATTTGCAGAGACATGCTCTTTGTTTACAAGGTGTGTACTATTTTCCTGGAAGTTGTGGAATATATTCCTTGATGTGCACTAGTAAATACTACCGACAAAATAAGCAGATAATCTGCTTCGACTTTAACATATGAAGGGAAGCAGGGTAAGTTTAATTTTCTTCTGTGAACTTTTATTCGTACAGTCGCAGAGCAAGGTCTGCACAGAATAACAGATTCTATATTTATTTATCTCCTTAGACGCAATTTTTCTTTCATGTTCGACTGCATTCGACATATTCGTTATTGAGTCATTCCTGTCGTTAATTATTGTAACTGAAACCATCACATCGTCTCCTGTGTTAGATTACTAAAGACGACATGGCGTCAAGAAACTCTGCTGCAGAAAGCAACCAACGTGGCTTTGGAACAATTTTGCACTCAAACTCCAGTGCTTGGAATATGGATTAGACAGTCCCGAGGCAACAAAATGGTCAGATCGTTTCATATGACACCAGCATACAAACATACAAACTTTACCCGTGGGTTAATACTAAAATGTTGTGATTGCTCCTAAGAACTGCCATAACTCTCGTTTCACCAACTGCCCCAGGGCTACGATTGCTGGGCTTATGATACATGATTATTGCTATGTGATGTATTTTGCCTAATTACGAAGCGGATTAGGTTACACTTTGATAGTCATAATCATATCAGAAAGAGAAAAGGTAACACGAATCTGTTGGTTTCTGTAGACGTTCCAAATTTGAACTAAGCAAATTTGAACTCAGCAAATTTAGAGCAAATATCTCTTCCCACATTTAAGCTTCTTTGTTGACATCATTTTTTTTGTTATAAAATTAATAATCATTATTGTTGAATGCTAATAATGTGAATAAAAGAACAATCTCATTACAACCAAATTGTATTTAAGATAATATCCATAGCATTTCCAAGAGAAATCTTGTCAGATGAATAATCGCAAACGCCAAATAAATTCTTAAACAACATTATTTTCGGAGTTTTCATAGATTCTAGATCTTAATTTTGCAAATATAGAGACGGATAAAACTGGATATGGATTGAAATTGTTTTGGTTCATGGATCTTTTTCAACCAGGAAAGTTCCTACCCTTGATTGATCGTTGTCACAAAAGAAACGCACGACGTAAGTTAATCTTACGTCAGATTCGTAACCGTTGCATTTATTACTCACACAATATTTACCACAAGATTGCGTATTTCTCTCGTAAACGTCAATCGGTATACTGCATACAATTCCAACCACCGCTGTGCCATACAACAAATTATAAATTTCCAATCTCTGAAAGAAATTGAAGCCCTTCATTATGTAATGACTAGTAACAACTCGTGTTCGAACAAATGTGACCATCAAATGAAACCAGTGCCTACATTCTCTCTCTCCAGTCTCGTCAAGTGATAGTTAATTCCTTGTACTCGACTAGGATTTTCGAGGATGCACGCACAATAGAACGACGATTTGTAACTACAGGCACCATGACGAAATTTTGGGTTCTGTAGCTAAGTATGGTTCATTTTATAGCTACCACGCGGGAAACAACTTCAAAAGACAACTGACTTATCCAATTCAGATGTCTTAAAAACAGTGAAATCTTAAGTTTCGACTCCATTATTGCCGTGAACAATTCTGATTCAAATCTCAAAGTAACTTGATTACATACAAAAGCAACAGCAAGCACTGTGCCATCCACTTATATTAAACCATGGGAATGCCAAGCTTCGTTGCATAATATTTCAAAAAATAGCTCTGTTAAGTGTCGCTGATGCTTGAAGCCGAGAAAGTCATCTCGGACTTCAACGCAATTACCATAACATAAACCAATTACAACTTCTTGAAGGAACCCGCTGCTTCCGAAGAAGGCTGATGTGCAATAATGTGACTACATTCAATCAAAAGAGCATGATTCACTGCGTAGAACAGAAATCAGACGCCTTCGGTTTACAATAATTATGGAATTCTCGTTGGTGGGAACTGCGAGATCTGCTTCGCACGGTCGGACGGGCCATATGACATGCACATCTCGGACCGAGGAGCGTCGCCATGTTCCCATCAATCGAAACGACCAATGCTAGCGAGCTTGTTCTCATGATCCAGTTCCATGTCGACCGATCTATCGGAACTGAGAGCCCTCCCACGTTTGTCCAAACTTCCAGTAGTCTCCAACTGCTCTGTTAACCGTCACAGTGCGCCCGTCGCCCGTCGTGATCTGGAAAGACAATGCTCCGCTCAACTTCGTTTTGCATGTCCACAGCGCACCCCAGTTCTGCCACATTGGTACCCAATATCCGTTCCGCCCCTTGATCTTCACTGCCCTCAAATCGCCTGCACCTCCCACGTTGTGAATCAAGATCATCATGAAGTATGGGTTGCCGCCAAGGGTAAACCGAATTCCGCCGCGCTTCGCACACCGAACCTTTCTGTAGTACACGGGGGCCACTCCTCCTTCACGCCGCGCCAATGTCATGAAAGCAGGCATGGGCAAGTCGAAGTGAGGCTTCCAGTCGCACCAACCTCCGTGCGATCCTGGAGGGCACGAGTTTGTTGCAGTGATAGTGATGGTGCGACTGTAGCTCCAGCACCAGTTGTGAACGGTGCGAGTGGGCGCCAGCCATTTGCACTTCAGCTGGTAACACGCCCCGCAAGACTTTCCGCCCTGGAACAAAGGATAACTCAATGCTGCGGTCATCACCCCGTATCCCATCGCAAAGGTGTTCGGATATCCGCATGCGCCTCCCTGTGTGCCACCGCCATTAGCTGTTCCATAGTACGTGATATGCGCCTCCTTCCATCCGTATGGTGCTCCAAGCACCGAAGGCAGGGAGTTCAGTGCCAAAATAGCGACTGCGGCAATGCAAACTGCGAGTTTCATGCTGGATAAGGCTCTCGTAGTCGACATGATGAATTCGAGCTGGCCTGGGCAGATGAGAACCAGAGTGTGGCAGAGGCTGTCGAGATCTAAAGACTCGGTTTCTGTGATGCGCTCATGGGGAAGAGACGATGAAACCTACACGACACCTTCAAGGGGGACAGAGAGGGAAATCAACTCGCTGCAAGGAACGCTGCGTGGATACAAGGCATCTTTCTTGCCGCTGCACTTTTATGTACCTGCTGATTCCTTCGAGAACCCCAATTAAATCTCAAAATCCGCATGTTAATATTCTTAGAATTGCTTGTGATTCTAATTGCAACAAGTGGGGGTTCCGAAGTGCTTGGCGGATGCATGATACCAACAGTAAACGTGAACTTCACCTGAAATGAGCATGTTTTCACGGCAGCGGCTGATTTCTAGTTACCAGGCGCGTATTACCAGTTGTCATTTCCTTTAATAGTATCTTGACACTGACTACAACTACTTGTTAGGACCGGTAGTTTTGCTGAAGCCGTGCACATTCTGTCCTTTCCGTATCATGAGCTGATTGGGTTGGTCGTTTACTGAGCTCGGCGAACATTGTCGCTTTGTTATGTATCAGACACACTCTGCTCGTCAGCTTGAATCTCGCGAGCGTCAAGAACAATGCAAATAAGGTTGTGATGTCATCGAGAACGTAGAGCACCGCGACTGAACATAAATGTGGATCCGTTTCTTTGAAGAACATCACGCACGCAGCGCCTCATCTCGGCAATCATTCAGCAAGGCTGGCAAAAACGCTCGCAAGTTACCCACCGCTATCTCCATGGCTATTAGTCATCACGTAAACATGGACCTCCGAACCAGTTTACGGAGCACGTGCATGTAACGATCCCTTGCCAAGCCTTCAGTATGTTTCTGTGGCGAAGGTGTGGCAACGAGCGGCTTGGTGACAATTTGCCACATGATTTTTTCGCTCCTGTGATCCAATAAAGGTAACCCTCTCTAAAACTCCAAAGCGCACACCACCTGCGTGCGGGTTTATTTTGTTATTATTTTCTGAATCGGCTTCCAATCCAAGACTGTGAATTCCACGCTCAAGCGCATCGTTGACATCGTCTCGCGCCAAGGAGCGCGATCATGTAGGCGAGTAATTCTGGAAAGAAGGTGGACTCGGAGGCGGTGGCGCACTGGGTTACCGGGACCGCCACCACGTCTTTTAACGGCGGGGATAAAGGGGACGGTGGAGAACTGGGAAAAGCGCCCCTGGCCGTTAAATTAGATGGTGTCATCCACGTTGGGAGGATGTTAGCTAGCTAGCTGGCCACGAGGCGATGATGGCGGTGTTTAATATCGCCTCGAAGATAGCGGCGTTAAACCTCTTTTCCACAAGCAAACTCTCTCAAAACCATATAAATGTAAGTGTGTGTGTATATATATAGATAAATATATGTATATATATATATATATATATATATGTATTTATTTATTTATTTTTACATACAACTATAAAATAAAATAAAATAAAATAAAGTGTTTAACTAGGATGCATATTGTTGTAATGATGTGTTGAAGTTTAGATATTATTGTGATTATGAGATTCAACCATCCTTAAGAATATTTCTCCATTACCATATTGTTAGTTGTTTTTATGCCTCGAGTTATTTTTATAAAGAGTGTGTATCATTCTTGCTTAAAAGTTTACAAGTACAATTCATGAGATTAAACATTTCAATGCTTTATTCATTGTGAATTTTGTTTGTACTTTTCAATCTGATTGAAAAAAATTAATATTGGGTCGAATTTTTATTTTTTCTTTAAGTATATGCAGAATAATAGCTGGTAAAATAACCATGTATGTTGTTATGTGAAGAATATTAGTTAGTAAAACAACCATGCACATTGTAAATTGATGAGTAAAGTTAATGTGTTCTGTGATATAATATCAAAGGTTGATGTAAATTTGATTGCAATGGGGTAAAGTTGACTGAATCTACAGATATTTATACCAATTTCTTTTTTATGAATCGTTAGATAAACTCATGTGCTTGTCAACGAACATGATTTCAAATATGGTGGTTGATTTTGAAACATATTATATCTTCCATTGAAGCTAAAATTAAGATTTACCATTTTACACAAGTACAGATTCATTGTTAGAATTTAATCTTTCAAAGTGCAAACATGAACAAAGTTAGTCTAATATTTATTAATTTTCTTTTCTAAAATCAAGCAAAATGTAAAATCAAATGAAAGTAGCAAAAAATATGTACTCATTGTATTGATTTTACTGATTTATTTATTATGTATTCTCTTAGGACTTTAGCAACCATTCACTTATCATTTGTGATATAGCATGTCGATTTTGTAATATTTTTTTCATATCACATTTTAATTTTATTATTTATTATAATCTAATATAAATATGCTTTGTATGATACATTGTTAAAAATAAATAAAAATTTCCAAAATAGAAAGTGTGATCACATAAAAATTATAATCTATCATATAGATAGATATACATAAAATATACTATAAATAATATATACATATATATATATATATATATATATATATATATACAGATATTCAAAAATTAATATGTACAAAGGTATCTTACTTAATTTGTAACTTTAGTAGATAGAAAGTTTATAAATTATAGGTGGTTATATAATTTTAGTGGATTTTAAACCAAGAGACCTTGAAATACAATACATGGCCTCTATACAAGATTATGTGGTTCTAGAGTCACAAGAAGTTGTTTATGGTATCATCACATGTCCAATCACACTTTCAATGCCACATTGTTACAAATTTTTTTTTTAGTATCAAATTCAATTGTCTTATCTATTTCACAAATTACAAAAAATTATCCTAACATAAATATTATGTTCCAACAATGCAAAGGAACTCAATTGCACCACCATTTGTTATCTCTCATATCAATTCTTGGTCTTTCTTAAATTCATAAAAGTAATATGTTTGTATCATTGCATTTGTCTTTGATTTGAACCTTTAAAATGGTAATTTATCCCTAAAGTTTTTATTGCTTGAGATTAACAAAAATATCATGTCCCTTGATTGTAATAGTTCTTTGGGTGCATAGATATGCTCTATTGTGCATATCTACAACTTCACTATAACTTGTGTTTGTGTATAAAAGGCAATAAACTATAAATTAAATTGAAAAACTAATATAGTAGCACTTGACACTCATTAGTAATCACTACTCACAAACTAAGAGCACAAAATTAGTTAAGGCTTGTTAAATTCATCAAAATAATTTAAACAATGATAAATACTTATAATAACTATATGGTTTCAAATCTCATTGTTGAACTTTGTTTTTGTTTCAATCTCACTTTCTTATTCTTGTCAATTAAACAAGAACTTAAATTATAAATTTTAATTTATTATTTATTAATTATTCAAAAAATATTGCTATACTTTACAAGATCTCCATACAACTTAAATTGACTAAAAAGCACACTTCTATGCTTAAGGTGTATTTGGCAATCCAATATTTAATCCCAATATTGATCCAAAAATAAAATAAATGAAAAAAAATAATTTTTTTTATTGTTTTTGGCAATCAAATAAAGAAAGATAGGATTTTTAACTAAAAAATTTTAGAAAAATATTTTTATTTTTAAAAAAATAGCTTACAACTTGTTCTTTCATAGATATTCATTATCTCTTTCTTAACAATCATCTTTTTAAAATATATATATATATATATATATATATATATATATACACAAAAAAAATACAAAAAAAAAACATATTATTAGTTAGTTGTCTACAAGGAGGTCATGTGGGATGGAGCAATATTAATTGGAGATGGAGCATTAATAATTCTTCACAAATATTATAGATAAGAATTAACAATAATTAACAAATCTTATAATTGAATGTTTATACAAAAAATTAAATATCTGTGTATATATATATATATATATATATAGGTCAAGATCACATAGTTTATTATCTTAATGGAAGCGAGATCTCTTCCAACAGACTCTTTATGAAAGAACTCCTCCAACATCCTCAATACCATTTAATTGCTTGTTGAGAGATAAGATAGTATCTAACTTGTCTTTTTGAGATTTCACATATTTGTCAAGTTCAGCTTAACTATCTTACTTTTTTTTTCATAACTTATCCTGGACATCGATCAATTTCGTTTTGATTTTGCTCCTGAGTTAATTAAGTTTGGTTGACATGTTCTGAATTGCACTACTTTCTGCGACACAAAATCCAGAACCGAAAGGGTGAAAATACGAGAATTAACGGTATCTTTTTGCAATTGTAAATCAATACAATGTCTTCCTAGTGGTGGACTCTCTTCTACCCTACAACTTGGTGGGATGTTTGCAATTTGAGGTGTGATATTATCTTTGCCTTGAAACCGCTAGAGTTTGGAGCACTGAATCTTACAGAAGTATTGAGTATTTCTGCAGTGTGTAGCTTCTCAATGTCGTCGGAAACATTCATTGTTGATTAGGCAGCATTCCAGCGAAGTTGCAGAAGTCAATCCTCAATTTCTTGACTTGCTCTTTGTCTGTGGACTGTTGGTCGAGAAGAAGAGAAGGTCCATCGTGACCTCACAATTTCTCTGTTCCTCCAGGTCAGTTGTGCAAAGTGGAACACTTTTGGGATCATCTCAAATTCAGCAACTATTTTGCGCTACGTTTAAAATGCTTGGCTTGCATCAAGCATAGTTTCAGAAACGCAGGTTGTTTCTTCCACTGCATCCTGAGACAGGTAGACCACGGAAATGTGTCTCAGAATTAGGAGGGAGTGTTTAGGGGCGATTGTCTGCCTTTATCTTCGGTTACTTCTATTATCAAATACCATTGTATTCTAATGAATCTTGAGTGGAATGTGGTGTCAAGATTTATTTATTTATTTATTTATTTATTTATTGGTGCTTCTATGATTATTATTATTAATAATAAAGAAATCTTAGAACTATTTAAATCATCGACAGAACCCTTCTTGGCCCGCAGATGGGCGCCTGTGGTGAGCAACCGTCTCTAAGTGGTGGCTTGTGAGAGTTACATATTATTTCATCTGTTGCGTTCGACAAGGACTACAAATTTGGGATAAAGATGCTAATGCATCTTTGGCCCCTGTGTAGAAAGCGACCAAGTGGGTTTATGCTTCTCCTAGTAGTACAAATTCTC